TAATACCAAAATCCTGCATTATTTTCCGGACAACCCAATAGTTGCAGTTAGAGGACCGATAATTGTTTGAATTAAACTTCTACTGAGAAACGTTTCTCTGAAGGAAGGCACCAATAGTAATTAAAGGCGAAGGCAAACTATGTCGATAGGAACAAGAGAATACACTACATCCTAAGGGATCAGGAAGGCTTGTGACCGACGGCAACACGAAGCTTCACCGCAAGTTAATTATAGAGAACGACTTGCATTTAACCTACGTCCGTTCCCAAAGGAAAACATTTCGTTGCCCATCTAATCAACAAAAATTACTAACGTTTAATAGTTAATTCAGTACAATAAAAACCAAGATCTGATGTAATTAATAATTTGGTACAGCCTCGTGAAGTCCCTCCAGCAATTAAAAACAAAAATAGTCTTTATAACTGGCTTTTAGAACAAATTACAATTAAGCTAGTAGCATTTTGTTAGAATTAAATAAAACTTAAACATATATATTCCTTGGTAGCATAGACAAATAAAACGTCGGAATGTCATTTAAATTAATTTGGCAACGTTTACTAGCAATCTCCTACTCTCGGCGTATAATTAATGCTCGTAATTAGGCATTTAAAACATATTAGGGTTGTAAGGTTTTGTATTTATCTAACTGTTGCCGTGCGTTCAAATCACAACTTTGGTTTTTGAATTTTCTGACTCCTAAATTTTACACACTCCCGACTGTTCTTTGATTTCCGGAGCACAAACTAACTAAAGAAAAAACCCTCTTCTCTTATTCCTTTTATCAGGAATATGTTTGTATAAGAGGGTTGTTTTATTATAAAATGACTGTACAATTTTTATATTTTATAAACGTTTTGCAGGAATATAAGGTTCTCCTCTTCAAGACAGACACCAGTGTACTATATACATACCCATTAAAAAATATATGTGAATGGGCGCGGGTTTTTCCTACACTCCGGTGAACCCTGGAGGGAAGGAGATCATTTTTCTCTTAGTTCTTACAGTTTATTAGATAAATCTAAAAAATGGTATTCGTTAATTTTAAAATAGTTTATTGGAATCCTGCCGCGCGCGCGCGCACACACACGCACACACACACACACACACACACACACACACACGCACACGCACGCGCACACGCACACACACGCGCGCGCGCACACACACACACACACACACACACACACACTGTTGTGTTATATCGATCGAAAGTTATAAAAATAATAATTAATACTTCTAAGATTTGTTCTAACAATTGAACATTCAAGTATCAATAAGGAGCGAATCAATTTAGATTCGCTTGATCAACATTCACCAATATTCAATATTGCATCAAATATGAGAGAGAGAGAGAGAGAGAGAGAGAGAGAGAGAGAGAGAGAGAGAGAATGTTACCGAAAGAGGAATGAGTGAGAGAAAGAGAAAAAGAGTGTGTGTGTGTGGAAGNGTGTGTGTGTGTGTGTGTGAGAGAGAGAGAGAGAGAGAGAGAGAGAGAGAGAGAGAGTGATGGAGAGAGAGTGATCAACTAACAGTACTAAAGACTGAGTAACACAATTATGCAATTTTCCACACTATTATCTCCATACTTCAATAAATAAAAAAATGCAATAAAAATAAATAAATAGGCAAATAAATAGTCAGTACATTTATATTGCATCTTATGCATCTTTGTTCTACCACGCGTTTTAGCATTGTAGAATTGTAAGAATTTATTTTACAAGTGCGCAAAAAAGTTGTCAGTAATTTTTCTTCTGATGGTTCCTATTGAATTTTCTTGTTCTGAATTTAAGTTTGTCTCTAAATTGTAATGATGGCTTGTTGCTTTAACTATAAATTATTTGTTAAATCTGTTTTATGTTTTGGTAACCTTTATCAACCTCTAGGGCTGTGGTAGTGAACATTTGATAATAATTTAAATTCCTTACACAAATAGGTGAGTTCTTTTGTTTTTAAACTTTGATCGTAGTCATAGTTGCATATATCTTAACCTGGTCGTTCCAACTTAGTTTTTCGTGCATTACAGAGACATTTAACTTTTTCTGTTTATTCAAGTTCTTTATTTTCTAGCATAATTTTTGGCACAGAAGCTTATTTTAATACATTAACGATCCTAATGCTTACAATAATTATTGATAGAAAAGATAAATGGTGGAGTCAGTGTGTTGTTCAATAGTTTTAAAATGAAAGTTCCTACTCACAGTAAGTTGTTTTCAACGATAGGGATATCGGTCGCAAAGCTCCTTTAACTTGATGATGAGCTGTAGGTTCGAAATCCGTAGTTGAAAACAACTTACTGTCAGTAGGAACTATCTTTTTAAACAGATAATTATTGGTTGTGTTTTACTAGGATCGGTTAGTACGCCTTGAGCTTTGCACCACCTGCTAATATCACTTATTTCCTCATTTATTGACATTGTAGTTACAGCAATATATTGGTGGAGAAAGAGCATATTTTTTGTGATTAACTTATTCAGTTTTAATTTTGTGATAGAAATCATATTTTTTTCTCTCTTTTCAGCTAAGACATAATTTGACAAATTTTTTCACTTTTACTCATCTGATATCATGCAAGAATTCAAACCATACTTACAGAATTTTTTAATTAATATTTTCCAAACGAGTAACTTTCGCTGAGAGTTTCAGGTTTATATGTCCATTTTCCTAACATTTAAGTATCATCTCAAGCTAGTAAGTATTATATTGCGCAGTTTAGGGAAGGGGATGTGTCTGTAGGTCGTGTTTATTAGGATACAATAGAGAGTTGGGCGTTTGCGGCCACTTTAAATCTAACCTTTCTTGGCCAGCTAAAATCCAATTTGCAGTTTGAGTTCCAAAACGCCCAACTGTATAAAAACTTAATTAACATTGTTTTACATACTAGAATTTAGATTTGAAGACGCAGCACTCATCTCTTTGAGAAGAAAACCGACGAAAAAAGCTTTTACGAAGTTTCCCCTTGGAATGAGTATTAATTCTCATATAATTTTGTACATTTATTTTTGTATTTTTCCTTATTGCCAGAAGAAACTATATATACAAGCTATATTAAAGTCGAAAATATTTGTATTTTTGCATATTAAACTTCGCCTAGCAGTTGTATTTTTGTTGTCTTTATGCCATTTATCACCCAGCTTCCACGTTCGGTGTGTCGGAAGATATGAATAATTCTTCCGAAAAATCTGGCGTTTCCATATACTTTGCGTATGTATGCACACGATAACATATTATACTCGTACAAACATCACTACAACTCTCATAATTAACAAAAATAACTAGTATTAGTTTCGACGATTGAACATATAAATTAGCGACCCAATCATTCGTGCCATTCATTTAGTAGTATCAAAAGAAATAAATTATAACAAATGTATTTAATGATCCTTAAGTCCTAAGTAGATAGTAAAATCCAGTTTCATATGTTGAGAATTTTTAAAAATAAACGGATAATTTTAGAGAATAAGAATAAGAAACTACGGTAACCAACTCGCAATTTTTTATCCGTTGCTAGCCTCTCTGTCCCTCAGGGCCTCGTCATTTGAGGACAAAATAACAAACACTTACACAAAAACAAGATAAAACGTAATATTATGGTTAAAATTCGCTCTATTCCAGAGTACTTGGTATTCGTCGGGGAAATAAAGTACGACCCTCTCGATTTACTCTAAGAAATTACGTCCACATACCATTCCCATTGCTCCAAATTAAACGATATTCATCATGCTGGGTGGTAAAGAAGTCCCTTCAATCACGCTAATAAATTACATTTAATGCACACTATCCCAAAGTACTTGGTATTCCTGGGGGTAATTGGGAATAAGCCCCACTATTCATTCTAATAAATCACATTCACATTACCCCATAGTATTCAAAATTGTTCAGGGTGGTTGGGGAAGAAGTCCTCCATTTATAGTAATAAATTACATTCACACTACTCAGAGTCGTTGAAATTGCTCGGGGTAATTAGTGACTTTTCGTTATGCTAATAAATTACATTTTAAAAAAATCACCCCGCCCCGAGGAATATCGAGTACTGTGGGGGAGTAAAAGTGACCAGACCTCTATGTTTCTATCGAGTGTTGTGTTTTGTGTTAATTTATCGGAATGAATGTAATTTATTAGCGTGAAAGGAAGGGGTTGCTTATAACCCCGCCCCGAGGAATATCAAGTACTCTGGGGTGAGTATATGACGTCTGGAGAGTAAAAGTAATTTATTAGCGTGAAAGGAAGGGGTTGCTTATAACCCCGCCCCGAGGAATATCGAGTACTCTGGGCAATGAATGTGACCAGACATCTATGTTTGTGGTGATGTATATATATATGTATTGTATGTCTTGTTTTTATTCTGTATTTGACAACCTGAGGTACAAACGAGAGACTAGCATTCTAGAATATCAACGTAGTATATATCTGAAATCAGAGAGTCAGTAACCAGATCGAGACGCTCAAATGGCTGCAGTTTAAAACAAAATATGCGCGAAAGAAAAGAAAAAGATGGAAAACACGCAGAGGGCCGGCGATGACCTCGGCTGTTTGTCGGCCCATAAACCTTCCATTTATATATATAAAAATCACCGATTTACTTTCTGATAATTATCCGACTAAGTAGCCCAGAAATACTAAGAGATTCTATAAATATTACGAATTTATGTTAAATGGGTTCAATCTTTGTGTAAATCTGTAGTAATCCACATATTCAACATGCAAATGTTTAACGTACTACATTAATGCATTATAATAATAACTAGGTTTCAGCGTTCATTCCAGTACAGAGGCCGTCATTATGATTTGGTTTTTCTTTTTTCGCCACATAATACGTGGTTTTAAAATAACCATAACTTACATGGCATAACAAATAAAGTTCCACTTTGTTCGGTGGAATACAAGAATATGATTGCAGTAAGGATGTAACATGTTTTTGTGATTTGAAAATATAATTTGATTTTTTATATATTGTAAATTATACAAAAATGCAATTAATACCTTCTTGTCTTCCAGGAGAGATTCCGCGTCGAGGCAGAGGTGGCCGTCAACAGGGCTAACATGCTAAGCCGTCTATGGAAGTATGCGCCCCAGGAAGTGCTGAATTCCGAATACTTGCTGTACGCTGGCGTATTCAGCATGGTAGAATTCGACGAAGACATATTCGCCGCTGGAAACTGTTATGATCAATATCAGTACAAACAGTTCTGGCTCTTCTGCCCGTACGCTTATCGCCTGCCCGAGGGACCAATACTTGCCAAAGATTTGGCCGTGGAGTACAAGTATTTAAGCAACACGAGCGAATGGTTTTACATCGCAAGGAAAAATGCCGAGAGGGTGATTAAAAACTACAACCAGTTTAGTCGAGGTAAGCTTCACTATATTTCAAGTGATCTAGCTCATAAAACAAATGCAAAAAATGACACTTACGTACTTCGGGATAAAGTTATTTTATCATTTATTTACAATTTGTAATGAACAGAATGTTATTGTACAAATTGTTTAGTTAATTTTTTTAAAATAAATTTACCAACAACGTGACGATGCCCAGTGGGGTTTAGTCTCGTCTCGCTAATGTGTCGGCAAATAAAACGACGAGGGAGTTAAGAATATTTCAGAGCTTAATTTTTCAGTTACATTTTTCCAGAGACGATTTGTCATTTAAATTAAAACTTTTTAATTTAAAATATTGTCCTTCGGGGATCATTAGACGGAAACCGCCCGGAGCTTGAAATATACACACTATATAACAATTTTAAATATTAAATTTTCTTTTGTGACAACAATAAGAAAGTTTCTCATCATTAATTAAATATTTTTTAAAGCGGAGATAAAACCAATTAATGAAAATTTGATTAAAACATTCCTCACGCTTTTCTCCATTTAAAGTTTTCAAAAGAATTTCGCAACTGTATAATTAAAAATGAGCAACTACGATCAAATGACATTTTCTATGTTGCCCTCCATTTTTCCTCCCCTTTCAATATTAAAGGGTGTCTCTCAAGGGTCGATCAAGGGTCCCATCCAGGGTTCTATGAATTTCTATAATAATAAAAATAGATAGTTCATCTAAAACAATCCGATATTATTTAAAAAGGGGTTTCATTTTAGAAGTAATAAGTCCGGAGACAAAATATGAGAGTTTCAGTGACAAAGATGCGCGAAAAATCCCTTTTAAAACGGAAAAGACAAGCGATAACCAGTTGATGTTTCTTGGCCCATAAATAATATTCACATACATACGATTCATACTCTGACTATTAATAATAAAACTATAAACGTGACACATTTCAACGTTGGTACAATGCCAAGTGCTAATGACTCAGTAGTTCTACATTTTCAAAGTTTGGATTTCGGATTTATATGGGCTCAAATCCGCACATGTACGTACATACAATTGACGTGTTCCAAGTTGAACCTATTTGCTTCTCGTAGTTCACCGGCAATTGCAACTTTTTTAGTTCGCAACAGATTAACGGCAGACCTCCAGAATCACCCACCACGGATGTTGGCAATCGGTAGGCAGACAGTCTTATCCGTTCAGCCCCCGTGCTTGGGCTCTTGTCAACAGCTAGGTCAATTCAGTACCCAACGCATGTAGTTTGAAACCCATTCGTACTGACAAACATTCTTAAATACACTCACTCCTATTTACATACCATTCGTTCAATTAGGGTGGTGGAATCTTGATATTCATCCATCACCCTTTTCACATATTATCTATGTTTGTGGTTCTCGATACTCCTCCAAGACCCTCTCACATCACACATTCACGCTAATAAGTACATTCACGCTAATAAATACATTCACTGTCAACAAGCTAGATTTACACAGCTATTATTACTACTTACAACAGAACAACACTGTTCTTCCAAGAATCAGAACAGGGGGACCTATCAAGAAAGCGGCAGGAGCTTTAGTGGTGTACAGAATATTAGCGAAAAAAAATTAGGGATGCATACCGGATACCATGATGGTGTGACCTTTTCTCACATATGGAGACTTAGCCTGGGCCGATAAATTAGACAAATTTGGTATGCAAAACATAATCATCCTATGCTCGGTCCCAGGAAGTATGGGAGTAGTATGCAACGAGAAAGCGGACACCCTTGCAAACAAAGGTGCTTTATATTGAACCTGAGCCGCCCTTCTGTGGCATAGGAATGCCCTATCAACGAGCACCTCAGACAGAAGGATAAAAAGAAAATGAGGGAACAGTGGAACTCACGCATTGGCCATAAACAGTCAAAGAATATGCAGTATAGAACCGTTCTCAAAATTGATATTGCTGTTTAGAAAGAATGATCATTATATCAATAAACGCCAGAATTCTGTATTTAATTAATTTTTCTTAACTACTGAATAAAGTTGATCATGTTAATGTATTAGTACCTATTTTTTTAAAAGGATTTTACGGTTGAATAAGAATTTTAAAAATCCTGTGTTGATGTAGATCTATTGTTGAACCCCTATAAATTATAACTATACCTTGGGATGTGCACATTTTCTGTAACCCTAGGCACTTCCCTCAGTGCCTCTTCGAGCACCTCTTTTGGTGTGAGGATTGCTTTACCTTAGTGGCTGCACCGTAACCCCGGGCTCGGGCTTCACATTTATAAAACATATGTGCCGATATCTCTGTACCTCCTGACAGAGTCAGCGTGTTCTTGTCTCTGCTATGCCCATCTTCTTTAGGTGGTAGTAATGAGGGCAGTGGCTGTATAAAGACCTTTAATTTTCCTCAAATACTGTCTACGGAGAGAGAGGTGTTCCTTTGCCTTACTTTTTAAAAATTTATAAATCTCTTAGCTTGCATGTACCTGCCTGGTGCCTGAGCAAGCCATTTTTCCAGTTCCAACGTAAACAGCATTCCGTTGCACCTAGTTGTGGTTTCCATGAATGTGAGGGCTAATAAGTCAACCTGTTCATTTTCTTCTATACTTTCCTTTCCCAGAACCAAGTTTAAGATAATCCTTTTGGTTTCCTAGAGCCATTAGGTAAATTGGGTACGCCCGGACTAGTTTGGAGTTGAAAGCCTACGCATTTAGGGCATTTATAGCCTGCTTGATTGTCTAGAGTATGTAAATCTGTGCACCTTTCATATTTTTCGAGAATCGCATGGACTGTCCAAGCGACTTTACTAGAGCCTTTTCGGCCTTTTTTTTAGTTCGGCCCTATTACCCCTACACCTACTCCCTGTTCCATCTTCCATCCATAAGAGTACTATATAAGCGCCCCTTCCTGAAGCATGAGGCCACCTTTATTCCAAAGGTCTCTATTGTCTATGACCACTTGGAAGGATCTGTCAAATTTTTTTTCTCATTTCGTCATGTACCGTTATAGCCATTTCATTTATTTTAATTCTCTCTACATATTTGTCGTTGCTCTTCCCTAGATCTGACTTTATTTTCTTGTATCTCAGGAGTCGCTTGGCGCTCTCAAAAGCAAACTGTTGTACATAAATATGTAAGGTAAAGATTTGCTTCGTAGTGATGACCGACTCTGATATCACATAATAGTGTTGAATTGTTCAGTTTGACAAAACTGAATACCACAAAATGAAATATAAATAATAAATGTTAGTAATAACATCATATATATATATAATTTTTTTTTTCGACGGTTCGCAACAACAGAGGTCATATAAACCCTCGGGGTGCCGGTGTTTTTGAAAAAAAAAACCATTTGTAAGTATGTTGGGCGCGGCATCCAGCGGCCCTGCATTCGAACCCGGGACCTTTGCCACCGACGCCCCTCGCATAGCCGCTATTAAAATTGAACGTAATACTCGCTCTAAGTGTCGACGTTGGTATTATTTATGCATATCCTTCAGACAATGAATGTGTCAGCCATGCATAAACTAAATATTCTATAATGGGAACAGATTATTTGAAAGAGAAATAGTTTCATTTACGGATTTGTTGATTTGTCCGTCGTGCACTCTACCTGCCCTTGTTCAAATTGGCAATTGTGTGTACAGACTTTGAGAATCGCATCAAACCCATTTTTCGATAATGGTAAAAATATTTGTTTTATATATGCTCATTTGACTTTTGGCAGAAACTTTTGTAAACTTTAAAGCACACTACCATTAACTCAGATGACAATGCTAAATTAATTTAATTTTAATTATACTCAATGTAAATGAGTATGGTAGGACAATAATCAGGATTTCTCAGATGAATAAAATTCTCCGGCGTTTTTAATATCCTGGAATTGGTGGATGAAAGAAAAACCTCCAGCAATATATATTTGATTAAATTACGTAAAAAACCCTTACATACATTTTATTTAAACTTTTGCTCCTTTTGAAAAAGGGAAAAAAATAATTAAGCATGTTAAGGTGCAAGTTCGGTAGGATATTTTAATAATTTCTCCTGAATCCACTTAAATAAAGATTACAAGATAAACTTGGGTGAGAAGAATAACTAGTATAAACGAAAAAGAGAATAAAATAATGTACTCTTCCGTTCCCAAGTGTGGAAATTAAAATAAGACAAAATGCTGATAATATTTTATAGACCCCTCTAGACTAATAAAATTTTAGTCTAGTAATACAAAAATTTTCTGAATGTAACAGTGCGTGTTTGTTTATTTAGAAGGCTAATCTAATGTCCTAGTTTTTGCACAGAATAAATTTTCAGAATTGGTTAAGAAGTTGGGCTTAATAGCCATCTAGAAAGTTTGTACGCAAAGGGATGAAGTCGGTTCCACTTTCAAACTAGGTCACATCTGATTATACATAGCCGAACGGGATGAGACTCACTATAATTGCTAATAACTTCACATATTTTTTTAATCTATGTGGGCTTAAAAGTTAACCATCATGAAGATATTATAACTTTAGAGTCTACATTCCATACATTTGCTATTCCCTAGAAGGATATGTTTTTGTGTAAGTTTTAATGTGATTTTGATTTTATTTTACAGTTTTCCTAAGAAGAACTATATATGTATACAGTAGTTCAATGATTTTTGCAGAATTTTGTGATAAATTATATTTTTAATCGAAGTTAGTTAAAAAATGAAACAGACAAATAACAGAGAATAATGTGCAAACAAAATGTACAGTCAAAGTAAATACTAAGTATTAAAAAATATAATAATAAAAAACGAAAAGCGGATATATATAGAAAGAGAAGAGAGAGTGAGAGTGAGAGAAAAATAGAGATAGAGAGAGGGAGAAGAGAGAATGGGAAGGGGTAAAGAGAAAGAGAGATAGTCTATGGTTCTCGGGATAGAAATAGAGATAGAGAGACGGAGAAGAGAGAATGGGAAGGGGTAAAGAGAAAGAGAGATAGTCTATGGTTCTCAGGATAGAAATAGAGATAGAAAAAGAGTGGGCTCGAGCAATAGGGTTAGGATGGA